ACGCGCTGTCCTCTAAAATGTCCTGGAAGGGATCCAGATCATCAGCCTGTAACAAAGCCAGAAAGACAGAGAAAGAGAGCTGTTAGTATTAGGTGTTTCGCCACAATCTCTTTCATTAGAGAATCATCTTGAACTGCTTAGAATTTCTCAGTTAAATATAATTTTTTTTAAGGATGATACATGTTTCAAACCCTGAGAACCTTTGATCTTTCTCCAAATGACGGCTATTTAAAAGTAGCAATGTATAATTACCACTCACAGTAATACTCACAGTAATATTGTGAAATATGATTTCAATATAAAATAACTGTTTTTTTTTTAATTATTTGACTGTATTTTAAAATTTTCAGCATCATTACTCTAGACTTCAGTGTGACATGATCTTCAGAAATCATTCTAATATGCCGATTTGCTACTCAAGAAACATTCCTGATTATTATCAATGTTGAAAACAGTTATGCTGTGTCATATATATATATATGTATATATATATATATATATATACAGAATTATTTGATTAATAGAAAGTGCAAAACAGCATTTATTTCAAACAGAAATCTTTTGTAACATTGTCTTTACTGTCATTTTTGATTAATTTAATGCATCCTCGCTGAATAAAAGTAAAAAAAAAAAAATTATTAACCTCAAACTTTTTAAGAGAGCATGCAAAATGCAACAGATTATGCTATGACAAACATTTACAATATTGCTTACAATAATGTATTATTATCATGATACATACACGTTGCTTATTTATTTGAAGAATCACCATCCAGTAATAGAAACTGGTTTTCCATGAGAAAGTAGTTTGCCATGTCCTAAATTTTGGATGTTTTGTCAAATAATGAACCCCAGCTCATCCAGTTCATTTGTCACAGTGGAAAAAGAGGCTGAAGCTGAGTGCTTTGCACTGTGGGATTCAGTATTTCACACACTTTGCTTTGTAATAAGGTACACATTATGATGTAGGTCATCCTGGTATTTCATCCATAAAGAAAATGTGCTCACTGCAGAAATAGTAACAGGGTGGTAGTATGCTATTCTGAACATAGTTAGATGTGTTTGATAGCAGCTGTTTTTCCACTTCCACTTTCCCTGTCAAACATCAATGCATCCTCATTTATACCAGAAAAAGGCACAGCAATAACCTGCAACAGGCCAAAATATCTGCCATTAGCTGAAAGTGAACATTTTACAAATCAGCAAAGACACTTGTGCATATTCGGCCCATTTTCAGGAGACTGTGCCATTGTGCCTGAAAATAAAAATGTAAAAATTAAAAAAAAAATCATAATTTCTTCCAACCTAAAGTGCTTGAAGCATTTCTCACAGTGAGCATCATGGCGGAGGAGCAAACTCACTATAATTTTAGAAATACTACTCTTGTTGTGTCATAGAATATTTTTTTTATTTTATTTTTTTTTCAAATATGCAGTTTATTAGGGTGTCAGCGGCCGTTCAGTGCTCATGAACCCGCCGAGAGCAACCTCACCTCGGCCAGATCTTCTGGAATTTACCCCTGGCTCTGATGTCTCTATAGTGGTTAAACATGAGATATAATTTGTTTGGGGTAAATCTAATGGGCAGTCTTTGGTCTCATTAATCTATTATTGTACCAGAGCAAATAGTTCACCATGTCAATCAGCTTCCAACCTTATTTGTCACAGGCACACATGAAGTCCTTCACTTTAAAAATGCACAATTCTTCCCCACACCCAGTTTGTATGCAGCATCCATTGGATGTTGAGAAGTGCACATCAATCAGTCCTTCCACAGTTAACACGGCAGAGGATGTGAGAATTAATCTGTTAGTTGTGCAGCATCAGTGAGACTTTTAGATTTCAGCAAATACCTTTAGAAAAGAAGGATTTACAGTGAGACTTTCCTGGTATGAAGATAAAAAGGGAAACAGCAGGTGGAGACGGAAATCAGAGCGCTGCCATACACTAGATGGCAGTGTGGTGACATGACAAAATCTGTGTGCGTGCCAGTGTCCTCTGCAGCTCTGTATGATAGCTTTCACGTTTCAGGTTATCCAACAAGCTCTTTTCAGCATCATATATATATATATATATATATATATATACATATACAATATTCACTTATTACTGACTTATTAATGGTCAGAGATTTAAATATACAGTACATATGCAGTATATCTTTATGTGTGTTTTTCGGGGCTGGGGGGTATCTAACATTGGTGAACATGATCATCTCAAAGAGGTTTGTGCTTACTTTTCTAAAGCAGTTGGAGGGGGGGTGCAACCATATACTTTCACACAAGCCAACACAACTCAAAAATGAAGTCTAATATTTGAATGCAATATATTTTACAAAAATGGCAAATTTGAAGAATACTAACTTATTCTGCTCTACTGAGAGATTTTAATCAGATGTTAGCATTAAAAGCATCATCCTCTTTTGGTGAAGCACCATTCAGCAGGCTTTATACCTCTGAACAAAACCAAGCTCTCTCTCTCTCTCTCTCTCTCGCTATCTCAGTGTGAGCTGGCTTATAAAGAAGATCCTAAGCTCCTCTCTGCTGATGTGGGTGAGGTGTGTGTGTGTGTGTGTGCAGGTCAGGTTTTGCCACATAACAAGCACAAATTTTTCCCACATGTATCGTAAAACCTGAAATTATATTTTGTGGGGAGCAGCCAACAATCCTTATGAGAAAAATGGCTCAATAAACATACAAATAATGTCTTAATGAAACTGGGAAAATGAAAAAAAAAAAGTTTGTGGGAGTTGGATTGGGGAGAAGTTTGGGGGATAGAAAATATTAAGACATTTATATTTTAAGTATAAAAACATACATCAAAGTGTCAAAATTCTGCCATCATTTACTCACCCTCATGTTGTTTCAAACCTGTATGACTTTTATTCTTCAGTTGATCACAAAAGGTGAATGTCTGAAAAATATCCTGAGCCACTTCCTTCCATATAATGAAAGTGAATGGGGACTCAGTATTATAAATATAATCCATACAACATATGCACAATATCCGAAGTTGGTTTATGTGAAAAATATTGAGGTCATTATTTACTAATAATACTCCCCTCTGGCGAAGCTCTGAAATAGACTACAAAAGTTGTTAAAAACTACAACAATGTCAATGCCATTTGACTAATAATATAGTGGTTATGATCTTGCCAGGGTGCTTCTATGTGGTTCCTAGGGTTCAATAAGTCAGTTTAATAAGTGATATTCACAAAAACTCACAAAACTCATAAAAAAACTCCAAAACTCTTACCATAAAAATTGACAGTTTAGCATTCCATCACTTGCTCAGCAATGGATGCTCTGCAGTGAATGGGTGCCGTCAGAATGAGAGTCCAAACAGCTGATAAAAATATCACAATAATCCACAAGGAATCCAATTCACTGCAGAGGATTCACTGGTGAGCAAGTGATGGAATGCTAAATTGTCAATTTTGGGTGACCTATTCCTTAAATGAAATGCTGTTAATGTAATATGTATTAACTGATAAAAAAAATACAAAATAAATAAAAATGTATTTTAATGTTAATATATTTAAATAAAAAATACATCAAATGTGAGCTGTCAGACAGTGAATACTAGGAATGCCAGTTAAAGCAATATTAGATAATGTTAGTGATTTTAGAACAGCTAAAACGAGGGCTAAATGGTTTTATAAAACTGTTACTACATATACCTGGCAAGGTTTCATAAACACATAGCAATAAAAATTTTGTAATTTATTAATAACAAATAATAAAGATTAGTTGCCAAGCAACACACAGATGCAGTGGTGCAGTAATACTGATATAAAGCACTGGCACCTACTAGACTACATTATCGTCAGGCAAAGAGACGTCAAAGTAACTAAAGCTATGTGTGGTGCAGAATGCTGGACCGATCACCGGCTGCTGATCTCCAAGCTTAACATCAGAATTCAGCCTCCAAGACGGCCGCAGGTGAAGAAGGTTCCAATGAGACTGAATGTTTCTAAGCTGAAGTGTACCCAGGTTAAGCAGTCACTGGCAGAAGAGCTGGATAGCAAGCTGGAACCTTTGAATTTTGACTTGCACGATGTTGACTCAGACTGCACTCTAAACCCGGATAAGTTGAGTTTACTTAAACATTTTGAGGAAACTGGTTGCCCTGAAAAATGTAAGTAGTGTTTACTTGATAAACTTGAGTGAAATTTACTTAAGCCATTTAAGTTTTGTTAACTTAATTGAATCTGTGATCTGAGGAACATTACTACTCAGAATTACTGACTCCCAGAGTGAATTGCGGCATGAATAAATTATGCAATTGCTTTGTTTTACAGTAGTTGTTTTTATTTTCCAATTTTATTTGCTGTCTTGTGTCAGTAGTAGCACAACAAAAAGAGCAAATAAAATGTTTATTGTTACAATTAATAAAAATAAATGAAATTGAATTGTTACCATTGTTGTGATTTGTGTGTTGAATGTTGAAGTCTGTGTGTGACTTGAGCATATTACCACAAATATGAAAGGATTATATCAACCCAATGAAAAGCTTCTCAAGGTATTCATGAAAATCAATGAAATTGTAAAAGATTGTTAATAATCACAAAACAATACACTATTGATTTAATCTGAAGATACATCACTTTTTAAAAGCAACCTATTTATTACTTTTCTTCCCTTGAAGTCAAATAACTCCAATTTCATGTTGCATTGCTGCATTAACAGGAAGACACCTACAATAATACAAACGAAGTTCCAAGTGCCCAACCAAAGAGAACACTAATCACTGTAAAGGTGAGTA